CCAGACACCAAAGATTGAACAGCTTTTCCAGTGTTGGTCAGTATCTTCCTGTGTACCTTCATCATAGTATTTAATTTACAAATTAAAAGTTATAATTCTGAAGAAAAAAGTTTAGCTCTTTATATTAAAATAATGGCTCAGGGGTGCCTGGGTGGCTCAGTCGATTGTCTGCCTTTGGCTCAGGTTATGATCCCAGGGTCCTGGGATCAAGCCCCACAAAGGGCTCTCTGCTCAGCAGCGAGTCTGCTTCTCCCTCTGCCCCTCCCCCTATTCGTGCTCTGTCTCACTCTCTCTCAAATAAATAAAATCTTTAAAAAAATAAAATAATGGCTCAGAGAAACTTTTTTTTTAGAGTTGTTGCTTTCTTAAGTTTTTATGTCTATGAGCATATAACCCACCCTCTTTTTATCTGATAAAAGAAAATTATTTTGAATGCTTTCTGAAACTAGCAAGAAGGTTATGACTACTCAGGCCAAAGACAGAGACAGATGAGTTAACCAGAGACAGCAGCAGAGCACAGAGGCCCCTGCTGGCTTCCACATTGTGGGCATTGGCTAAAACAAACAAACTGGAGCAGTGGTTTCCATAGCATCAGGGGCCTAAGGAATGAGAGACAAAATTGAAGGCCTGCCCAAGGTGAGACCACTAACCTCCAACCAGAGACCCTTCCCTTGAAGCTTGATCTCAAAGGGGTGCATCCTTTAAGGAAGAAGAAAGTAGAAATCACCCATCCCCCACTCCCAGATGCCAGCCAGGGAGACTGTCTTTGTCAATCCTTAGTGCTAAGTGAAAGGGAAAAATAATTTTCCCTAAAGGATTTTAAACGACTTGGCAATTAACAGGAACGAACTGCTTATAAACACAACAATATGGATGAGTTTCAAAAACATTATACAGAGAATTCAAAAACCACAAAATGGTTCTCATTTGGGTTTACAGGCTAAATTCTGACTGTTTACATGGTTCAATAAACCTCAAGTCAATAATTTAGTTTAAAGTGGTCCCAGATTGATAATACCCTAGAGCAGGGGTAGGCAAACTATTTTGGGTGAAGGACCAGAGAGCAAATATTTTAAGCTTTGTGGGCCATTCAATCACTATTGCAACTACTTGACCCTGCTGTTATAATGCAGAAACAAACACAGACAATGTATAAATAAATAGGTGTGGCTGGCTTACAATAAAATCTTATTTACAAAAACAGGCAGAGGGCAGGATTTAGCCTATAGGCTACAATTGGCTGATTCCTGTTCTAGAGGCCTAATGGAAGATAAAAAAAATCCATAGAAAATGACAAATCATCGTGAAATATCTCTAAACACACAAAGAAATAAAGCTCCATTAATGAGAAACAACGGGCGGGGGGGGGGGACTTATACCCTCAAAAGATGTAAGATTTTGGAATTATTGGAAAAAATATAAAATCAATAAGCATCAGATGCTTTAAAAGTTATTCAAGAGTAAGTACATTTGAAAAAGCCAAATATAACTCATAGAAATGAGAAATTTAAAAATTAAAATAAAAATATCAAGCACTTGGGTGGTTCAGTTGGTTATGTGGAGGCCGAGAAAATTAAGACCATTCCACTTTAGGTTCAGCATTAGCACAAGTACAGCCATCCCAGGCCCCTGTGAATAAGACCTGAAATTTACCTTGCTTCATACAGGAAAAAAAAACAGTTTACAGCTTAACGCCCTAGAAAGCCCCATATTAGAATGAGAACAGAGCTCAAGCAAGTGGCAGAAAGTCCCATATCAGAAAGAGAACAGAACTTGAGAAATTCCTCCACCCCTTCTGGAGGTCCCCTAGACCAGCCCATAAAACTAAGCTGGAACTCATCTCAGGGTCCAAATCCCTGATCCGCTATGTCGGGTATACTTGGACCCAAGCTCAAGCTTGTAAATAAACCCTCCTGTGTTTGCCTTGGTGGTTTCTCGGATACGTAATTTTGGGCACAACAGTTAAGTTTCTGCCTTCCACTCAGGTCATGATCTTAGGGTCCTGGGATGGAGTCCTGCAGCATCAGGATCCCTGCTCAGCAGGGAATCTGCTTCTCCCTCTGCCTCTCCCCCCAGCTCATGCTCTGTCTCTCACTCATTTTACTTTCTCTGTCTCAAATAAATAAATAAAATCTTTTTTTAAAAAAATTTAAAAGTCAGGACGCCTGGGTGGCTCAGCGGTTGAGCATCTGCCTTAGGCCCAGGGCGTGATCCTGGAGTCCCAGGATTGAGTCCCAAATCGGGCTCCCTGCATGGAGCCTGCTTCTCCCTCTGCCTGTGTCTCTGCCTCTCTCTCTCTCTCTCTCTGTGCTCTTGTGTCTGTGTGTCTCTCATGAATAAATAAATTAAAAAAAAAAAGAAGAAGAATTAGATAACTGAGAATCAGAAAATTGTCAAAGGCTGTAAAGCCTGTGAGTGCTAGAGTCACAATTAGAAAACATCTTTGTGACTCTCTATCTCATCAATCTAACCAGTATTCCAAAAAATAACATCAAATACTACTAGCATTAATCCATTAGAAACTAGTATTAAATAAAGCAAGCCCACAGCTTTTTTCAAGATTTTTAGCAGGCCCTAGTTTTCCGAACCAACCCAAAATGCCAGCTTCAACCCACCTCCCATCACATCCTCCTCAGGCCTGGCAGAAAGCCACATCTCAGAGACAACGGCTGAGAGCAACTCTGGCCAAAAGGCAGTCCTCGTGCCCACAGAACATTATCTGTAGTCATGACAAATGAAGAGCTCTTAAGTTAGCAACAGAATGCCCAAAGTGCAACATAAGCATGGAAGGGATGATGGCAAACCACCAACGCAAAGATACATATGCCTTGGAAAGTCTGCTAATCCAGGAAAACTTCCCTCAAGACTGTTTTTTGCACCGGACTATGATCCAGGACTACTTCCCATGCTTTGAGTATATTTACTGCTTCTTACCACAGTTGCTCATCCAATCCTAAGATGTGCCAGGACATTTCAGAAAATCTTGGCATTCCTAGAACCCTGTGTCTGTAAATATGGCCAGGAAGAGTTGGAATTTAGAAAGGCAACCTTGAGGCTCAATGAATGAATCTGTGCAAGGGCTAGATGAAAGGTCTTATCTAATGGGATTTTTCTCCCCAAATTCTGCCAATCCTTGGTATCCCATTATAATTACAGAAGACTCAGAAGTTTAGAAGACTAAACTCTGGACAGAGATTTCTAAAGTCATTGTAAAACAATATTAGGGGGACACCTGGGTGGTTCAGTGTGTGGGACCCAGGAAATCTAACAAAAATCCCCTACCCCTGGACAAGCAGAGCAGGACTAACTCCATTTTGTGCTACACCCGCCATCCCATGTAAAACCCCCCACACGACCTGCCTATTGCTTAAGGCACTCCCTCACCCTAGTTTAGCTATTAAGCACACCCTTATCAGAAACCAGCACACATAGGAATGCGGGACCTCTGACCTTTAACTGCCAAGGAATGAAAACGCCTCTTTTGCCCGCCAAACCTGCGCACCAATTCTAACCAGAATAATGGGCTAGTTCAAATGGTCACTATAAGGTGAATCGTAATTCAGTTGGCCACCTGCGTGTGGACCGACATGACTGTGCAACTTTCTGCGTATGTTACAATCTCATTGGCCACTGGCCCCTATAACACTGCTACGCCTCTTAGTCTTGGAGTCCCTGCTCCACTGTGTCAGGTACACTTGGACCCAAGCTCGAGCTTGTAAATAAACCCTCGTGTGTTTGCGTCCGTGTGGCTCCTCGGTGGTTTCTCGGATTCCCGATCTTGGGCACAATACAGTGGTTAAGGGTATGCTTTTGACTCAGGTCCTGACCCCAGGGTCCTGGGATCAAGTCCCACATTGGGCTCTCTGCAGATAGCCTGCTTCTCACTCTGCCTATGTCTGCCTCTCTTTTTCTGTGTCTCTCATGAATAAATAAATCAAATCTTTAAAAAATAATAATAAAAGAATTAAAACAATATTAGGGAAGGCAAATGCAAAAACAGGAATTCTAGGGAACATATGCTAAATCTGAGCAATATTTGCTTTCTAAAAACAAGTTTGCAGCAGCATGGCAATTCCCCAAACAACTTAAAAGCTAGTTGTATAAATCAAAGACCTACAAAAGTTCTTATTGAGATAGAATTAGATTTTCTAATGAATACGTGATAGCATTATTGTTTTAACAGTGCTCTTAGAAAGATACATCTTATTGGTGTCCAAACAAAACAGCTGTTAATTGTTCTATCAGGTTTTTTGAGAACTGGGCTAATTAATAGAATGGCTTCATTAATTTAAATTATATTGGACATGGAAAGTAAAAGGGAAAAAGGACTGCTCTGAGAAAAAAAAAAACAAGACAAAGAGTCACCCCAACATACATATATGGATTAGGTGATTTTCAGTCAAGATCAAAGGGAAAAACCAGGGCCCCCGGGCTGCCTGTCAGTAGAGCATGTGATTCTTGATCTCAGGGTGGTAGGTTCACCCGCCTTGAGTGTAGAAATTACTTAAAAATAAAAAATAAAAAAAATCAAAGTAAAGAATCAAAGGGTAAGAACAAAGGGGAAAAGGATGGGGGGAGGGTAAGAACAGAAGAGTAGCTGACTAGTAGGGTAACCTGTTTGCAAATGTTCCTTTGGAACCAAACCCATCCAGTTCGATAAGAATATAACTGATAGCGCTATGCTGGACATACCATAGTCAATTAAAAGATAGTTGCTTGAGTTCACCTACAAATTAAGTGAAGTCTATGACTTGCTCAGGGTAGAGTCCCAGGGTCAGAGTCCAGATAGATAATTAGGCTGAAAAAAAGAGAAAGAAAAAAAAAAAAAACAAAAAACAAAACTAGCCGTTCATGTTCTCATTTCCCAGACATTCCAGTCCAATAAAATCTAACTATGCCATTGATATGAAAAACAAACAATCCTTGTTTATAAAAAGAACGAATTTAACTTACCCCAAACTAGAACAGGGGAGAGGAGAGGGAAAATAATGTAACACATATTTAGAAATATAGAATTTATTTATATTCACGGTAAGACAGTTTCACATTTTGTACATGGTTACCAGAAGAGATATAACACTCTCAGAGTTTAATATGGCGTTATATTGCTATCAAACATTGCTTATGCTGTGTGAGTTGGGAAACACTTATTTCTCCCTTTAAAAAATTTAAGGCTCAGTTTCCAAAAGGTAATTTTACCACTTATTTTTCTGTTTAAGAAACTGGGGACATTCTGAAATAAACCTCAAAGGGGTGGAGGGTGAGGGGCAGCACACACACCTGGCTCATTCATACTCCCGCTGAAGACACTGTGATTTTTTTTGTTGTTGTTAAAGGCTCTCCTGTTTGAAAATACGTTTCAGTACAAAATCAAATCAGTAGATAGGAGAGGCACTGGATATAAATCTTTAGTGTACAAACAAGGAAAACTTAAAACTTTATCACCAATTGCCAGCTAGAGTGTTCATTCAAAATTCGCCTACATAAAAGTGCACACACACAGAAACCTGCACTCACTTTTCTTTGGTAAAGTTTACCAAATAGTAGTTCTCTTCTAACACACTAGTAAAAAAAAATATTTATACTTGCTTTCAACTTTCAGATCAAGTGGCCACAAATTCCTTCTTTTCTCCTAAATACCATCCTTCATGTCCCCCGCCCCGACCTTGCGGTAGAGCATAAGTGCAGTGGTAACCTTGAACAGATGCTTAATCCTGCTGTTTAAGTGATTGAAGGGGGAGAGGGAGCAGTGAGAAAGTTAATCATGAAAAGAGCCTGGGGTTTTTTGAGAATTACCATATCAACAAAGTCCTAAACACAGTGAGTTCCAAATGTGTTGTAGAAGAACTTTCCACCCCCTCATAAGTATTTCATTCAATCAACAATGACATCATCATTTTACAAAAGGCAGAATCTGTTTAAACTCAGTAAACTACCTTACAATTCAGGAAGCTAATGCTATAACAACAAAAGCCAAAAAAGGGCCCGTGATGGGTTCTGCCTCTGGCATAAAGAAGTAGAGACGATCCATCCTGTAGAAAAGATCAACAACAAAACAGTTTACAAAACAATAGTCCACTCCCCCACCAAAAAACCCCAACACATTCCATTTTTAGGGCCTAGTTCCTGGAAGCCAGATTTTATCACCAGGGTAGCTTTCAGTCCAATTCAAAGAGATCCATTGCCTACAATCATCTTGCTGTAATTCTTCTGCTGCTCTTCTTTAAAGGTATCCTTCACCTTTGCTCTCTTCAGCCCTCCATCCCTGGGAATAAGAAGGCAAATAAATAAAAGATTTTCCCAACAAGGATTTAAAAGCATTCGCTGTTAACACACCCTGCAGGGGTGCCACAACACTCAACTTGGTCAGCAACTGGGCAAAGAACATTGCATTTAAAAGCAGAAAGACCAAGATTTCTGTCTCTGGTCTACCACTCACCAAATGTGTATTACTTTGGGGAAGGAAGAATCTCTCTGACCCTGATTAAAATATGGAATGAAAAAATCAGGGGCATCTGGATGGCTCAGCTGGTTAAGCAAATGACTCTTTATTTTGGCTCAGGTCATGATGGAACCTGGCTTCAGGCTCTGCACTGGGCATGGAGTCTGCTTGAGATTATCTCTCTCACTCTGCCCCTACCCCCACCCCTCGGCTCATGCTCTCTTTCTCTCAAAAAAAAAAAAAATAAGTTAAATTAATTAATTAGTTAATAAAATAAAATATAGCATAATATCTCCTTCCACTCAGTTTCTTTTTAGAAGTTAGGATTACTATATTCAATGTTCAATATTCAATGGACTTTATATTAAAACTAGAATTGTTTGCCTATCCTTTTCCCCAGGAAAAGCAAAGTATTATTTTCTTTCATCTAATCAACCTATGTCTTACTAGAAAACAATCCAGAACATTTAAAATACATACACACAAGTAATGCTGAGGGTACTGTATATGTATGGGTAAATTACTTAAGGATAGATAGGGTAATCATTATTCAAATTTAATCCTATGTCCACTAAGTTGTATTTTCATTCAAAGCACTATATATTTCAAGTAATTATAATCTTCCATATCCCAAAACAGACTCAGAATTAAAACAAACAACAAAATCGTAAATTGCAATTAACCAGTAGTTAGTGCCTATGTCAGCAGCATTCCTTCATTCAGAGCCTGGGAATCTTTGAACTCTCTCCAGGGTGGTGAAAACACAGAGCTGCCTGGGCTATAAAGACTCTTCATGCCTTTCCTTCTTTGGACAACATGAAGAAATAACAAACTGGAAGCTCTGGGAGGAGACTAGATTCTAAGGAGCCACAATTTCTTTCCTACTCTATCGTTTTTTATTTTAACTCCTAGGAGAGCATGAACAGTGAACTTGCTTACTTTATACTGTGCCTGTTTAATTTTAACCCAGTGAAGCACACATGTTTACCAAGTGCTCTCTGATGATGATGAATGGATCATAGGTTAGCCCGTGAACTCAATGCCATGAAGGCAGACAGAACTTGACCTACAAACAGACGCCTGTCTGAACCACTGCAAAGTTCTGGCCTCTGGAGGCAAGTCCAAGACAGAGCCCATCAGTAAGCTCTCAACTTAAAATAGCCTGTGGTCCACACGTCTTCCAGAGGCTCAGCTGTAGGAAATTTCCTTGAAACAAGGCTATAAATTGTTGTTAGCTCCCCAGCAGTGTCCCCCAAAGCCTCCTTTATCCAAATGAGCTGCCACTAACTCTTCACAGCATTTGTGTGAATTCTGATTAATAAGAACTAAGTGAGAGAGAGGCAGAAGAAAGGCCATTCTTTCCTAAGGTGCAGGGCAAAACTGACAAAAAAAGTTAGCGACACTTGCCCTTGAGCATCCTGATATTATTTTGATGCAGCTCTCCTAAGCACTCAGAAAACGTGGACTGCTCTGAGCACCCCAACTGTGATTTGTCCCCTCCAGAGACTTTAAAGTTTTAACCAATTCCCCTTTGCAATGGCAGAGATCTGAGTTCCTAAGGAGGCCAGCAGCCATATATTAAAGCCTGTTTATGATACAATTGATTTCCCATTTAATCTAGGAAAAAAACAGTGTAGAAACGTTCATTCATACCCAGTGTGTGAATGATAGCTAGACCTGGAAAGAAGACAGTGAGTCCTTTTTTTTTTTTTTAGAAGAGGCTGGGTAATTAAAACTAATCGTTTATTTAAAAAATTGCTTATGGCCCTATAAAAGGGAATTGAAAAATTCTGAGGATCATTTCTTTTTTTAAAGGACTTTATTTATTGATTTATTTATTATTTATTTGAGAGAGAGAAAAGAGCACAAGCAGGCAGAGGCAGGGGGTGAGGGGAGAGCTAAGGGGAAGCAGAGTTCCTGCAGAGCAGGGAGCCCAGTGCCAGGACTCTGGGATCATGATCTGAGCTAATGGGAGGCACTCAACTGCTCAACCGACTGAGCCACCCAGCTGCCCCGTAAGGATCATTTCTGAGATTCTGTTTAAGCCAATAATGATTGGGATCTGTCCTGTGGCTGACTTCTCTGTTAATCTTTCAAGGATTTCTTCCTTTCTTTGGTGTCTGAGGCTACTGATCCAAAGCTCCAAGATTTTCATATGGCTTTGGCTCAGGAGCAGAGCTGAGATATCAGGTGAGAGAAAGCAAGGTAAAGAAATTAAAACAATGAGCAAGAAAGCAGGAGCCAGATCCAGAATGAACTTGGATCACTAGGGCATTTATAAACTGGGACTCGTGTATACCTGTCATATCACGATGCTATGATGTCTATAATTTAGCTTCACATATTTCAAGTTAGGAAGTGTGATACAAATGTTAGTTTTAACCTATCCTGACCTTACTACTGCCCTAAGAGCCAGTCAAGTGGCACTAAGTCAAGAACTCATACTCCAGGGATGGTCAGCCAGGCATTTAATTAGAAGGCCACCATCTAAAGGTGACACTCCAAGGCTTCAGCTGTGTCTGCCTTCCATCAACTTCCCAAACTTTGCTAACTCATATAATTAATTTTAGAAATGGGTTTTCACTAGAGAAATTAGTGGCTTCCTAATTAGCATAACAGATGCCAGAAAACTTTCTTGGGTGAAATTGGTTGTACTCAAGATATATGAATGGATAGGGGCGCCTGGGTGGCTCAGTCAGTTAAGTGTCTGCCTTTGGCTCAGGTCATGCTCCCGGGGTCCTGGAATCGAGTCCTGCATTGGGCTCCCTGCTCTGTGGGGAGTCTGCTTCTCCCTTTGCTCCTCAACCTGCTTGTGTTCTTGCTGTGTCTCTCTCTCTCTCTCTCAAATAAATAAATAAAATTTTTTTTAAAAAAAAGATATATAGATGGATAAAATATTCTAGAGGCATTCTCCATTCTCCACCCTTGCATAAAGGAGTATAAAAAGACAACCAGTCCTTATTCCAGAGGCTTCATTGCTGAGAGGTCCAAGATCCCACTGCAGGTTCAAAAGTTCTTGGTTTAACAGGCTGACAGCCTGACTCAGCCAAATCCTAATCCTAGAACACTGTTATAATTGCCTCCAGTGAACTTTTTATGCAAAGCATTTTCAAACACCAAAAAAAGATAAAAGATAAACAGAGGGACTTTATTAACTTAAAGGATTTGAAGTATGAACTGTTTTATGTAAACTTGCTAGCATAATGTCTGTGTGTGTGAAAACTTAATCTCCCATGATAATGTAGGTACAGTTAACCCTCACTGATAAAGGCTAAATGTTTGTGCATCTCCTCCTCAAATTCATATATTAAAGCCCTAACCCCCAATATGATGGTACCTGGTGATGGGACCTTAGGAAGTAATTAGGTTTCGATGAGGTCATAAGGGTGGTCACTAATCCTCAAGGTAGAATTAGTGCCCCTAAAAGAAGAGACACCTGTGAGCCTGCTCTCTTCTCTCCCTCTCTCTCCATGCTCACACAAAGGCAAGAAGGTGGCCATTTGCCAGCCAAAAGGGATAGAGAGCTCTGACCAGAAACTGACCTTGCTGGTACCCTGATCTCAGACTTCCAGCCTTCAGAACCATGAGCGGATTTCTGTTGTATAAGCCACCCAATCTGTGGTAGTTTGTTATGGTAGCCCAAGCAGACTAAGACACTCCCCTACATTCCACCACCCTCAAACAAACAAAATTTAAATCCAAAGTTTCCATCACTAAAATATCTCACTTATTTCCTTTCACATTTTTAAGTTTTCTTTAATATATTTACAGCTAGGGGCACCTGGGTGGCTCAGTGGTTGAGCATCTGCCTTCCAGCTCAGATGATGATCCCAGGATTCTGGGATAGAGTCCTGCATCGGACCCCCTGCAGGGAGCCTGCTTCTCCCTGTGCCTATGTCTCTGCCTCTCTCTATGTGTCTCTCATAAATAAATTAAATAAAATCTTTAATATATATATATATATATGCTAGCTGTAACTATATGTATATATAGTTACAGCTAGCATAAAATATGAACAAGCCTATAAGTTGCCCCTTGCTCCTAGGCTCCATTCCCCACCAAATATCTTTTCTCATTTTCTTCTTTAGTATCTGAGTTTTAGCTAGATATATGGCTATCCAGAGCAAAGACAGCATTCGCCAGCCTTCTGTGCAGCTGTTATCGCATAACTTGAGGTCTAGCCGGTGGGTAGACATAGAAGTGGCATGTCCAACTTCTACCTTGTGCTCACAAAGAGACAGGTGTGTCCTTGTTTTAATTCTTTCCTGCTGGCCATTTTCTATAGGTGTGGAGCAGCACTGAAGCCACCATCCTGAACCCTCGAGGGGAAGCACACTGAGGACGGAAGCATATGGAATGACCTATTATACCAGCCTTCACCACCCACGTTTAAGGAAGAGGGCTAAACTTCGACCGGATTTAAGCTGTTGTTATTCTATGTAAACCACTGTCGTTTTCAGCTACACCTCTGGTTGACTACCACAATCAATGACATTATTAAAATAGATTTTTGTCACTAAAAAAAAAAAAAAAAAAAAAAAAGATAGTACTTCTGTAAACTGCCTTACCAGGGAAGCTCAGTCAATCCTCCTTGCACAGCAATAGCAGACTTAACCCTGTTGGCAAACTGGACGGCATCTTCTCCTTCCTGGGGAAAAAGGAAATTACAAGTACTTCCTGAGAACAGAGCTTTCAAATAACTCTTAAAAGCTCTCAGAGTCATTTAGATTTGCTTTAGAATGTAAGATTCAGGGGCACCTGGGTGACTCAGTTGGTTAAGCATCCAACTCTTGATTTCAGCTCAGGTCAAGATCTCAGGGCCTTGAGACTGAGCCATACATGGGGCTCTGCACTGGGCATGAAGCCTGCTTACGATTCTCTCTCCCTCTCCCTCTGCTCCCCACAACATGCGCATGCTTTCTTGCTCTTTCTGTCTCTCTCTTAAAAAAAAAAAAGTAAGATTCATATTTTAGCTCAGTTCTATTCTCAATCATAGCAAATATCATTTGTTCTATCAAGAAAATGAAGTGCTGTATTGTTTGATTTTGTATCTTGTGTATATATTTATTATGATCTTTATTAGTCTTATCCAACACATCACATTCCGTAATATCTGTAGATTCACTAAACCAATAGCAATTATAAAAACTATTATGGAAAAGAGTCCCTGAATATAAAATAGCCTGATTTAGGAAAGTTAAATACTTTTTTTTAATGACTCATTTGCTAAAAAAGCAAGTCCAGCTCTAGCTAATGTGAAAAAGGAAGGCACCCAGGATTTCAGGTAAAAGTTTTCTTGCCTTGATCTGACTGGATAAAGCACCAAAGACTAGTTGTTATCTATGGATACCTCTCTGGTCATGGGGGGCATGTACCACACGTCACAGACGATTGCCCAGCTGGTCATCATTCGAAGCAGGTAGCTCACCATGTTGTATTTACTACTGTTCCAAAATGCATCCCCAAACTGAGGATTATACTGAGAAAAAGAAAAGAAAATACATCCCAGTTATGAACTAAGTGGTGGCTTCTTTTATCCATGTCAGTGTTTCCAAGGTGACAAGCTAAACATCTTTATCAGACCCCAAGAGAAAGAGAAACGACTTTGCTTGATAGAAATGAGTTAAAAAAAAAAAAAAAAGTAAACCAGGCCCACTAACTTCTCTGACCTGAGTCCCAGAGTGCTATAGTAAGAGAGTTATCCACATGAGTCTTAAATATCTGTCTCCCTTGAAGGTGAGTGAAAGTAGTCACAGTAACTATTTTGACTATTACTGTGTCCTTGGCACTTAATACAATGCCTGGCAGACAGTCCCCTGGTTCCTATTTGTAAACATATCCAGAGAGAGAGAATGATCAAGCAAATAGGGCAAAATGTAAACAGTCGGTGAATCTGAGTAAAGAGTACACAAATGCCTTGAGGAAGATCCTATTACACAATAGGTCTCTTGAATATGTTGGTTGGCTAAATAACTTTAATATAATGACATCACAATTTTTCCACCAACTAACTGTGTGACTGTAAGGCAAATTACATAACATCTCCAAGATTCAGTTTACAAACTGAGCAAGTTTAACTAAAGTTGTGGTTTCTAAACATTCTGGTTTAGCAACAAATTACAAATCATTTTCTTTAAGTTACATCTAATGCAGAATCCCAGTATGTAAAACAGATTTTAAAAAGGAAAAAAACATATGCCCTGATGCACTATTGGTACGGATATATATCAATACAGTTACTAGAGAAAATAGTATGAGAGAGTCTCCAAAAAAATAAAAAACGGAACTACCCTATGATCCAGCAATCCTGCTTTCAGGAATATACCCAATGGAAATGAAAACAAGATCTTAAATAGATAACTGTACCCTCAAGTTCATTGCAGCATATTATTCACAAGAGCCAAGATTTGGAAACAACCTAAGTGTCTGTCAACAGATGAACAGGCAAAAAGAGATGTGGTATATATTGAGAGTGGAATATTATTTAGCCGTGAGAAAGAAGGAATCCTAACACCTGTGACAACATAGATGGACCTTGAAAGCATTTTGCTAAGTAGCGTAAGTCAGACAGACAAAGATCAGTACTAGATAGTATTACTTATACACAGAATCTAAAAAAAGCTGAACTGATAGAAACAGAGACTAGGATTATGGTTTCCAGGGGCTGAGGAGGAGAGAGGGCACAGTGGAGGAATTGGGGAGATGCTGGTCAAAGACTACAAACTTTCAGTTCTGAGATAAGTAAGTTCTGAGGACCTAATGCACAACATGGTGACTATAGATAGTAATACTGTATTATATACTTGAAAGCTGCTAAAAGAATAGATCTGAAATGTTCTCATCATAAAAAAGAAATAGGAATTGTGTGATGTGATGGAGGTGTTTGCTAAAACTACAGTAGTAATCATTTTGCAATATGTAAGTATATCAAGTCAACATACGGTATATGTTAAATTTACCTGATATATGTCAATTATATTTCAATAAAGCTGGAGCAAGGGGAAGGGTACACAGTGCTGGTTGTATTCTTAAGAGATTTTAAGGTTGAAGTTATACCAAAACAAAGTTACCAAGTCATTGCCCTTTTGGGGGGCCAGGAGATCATTTGTTTTACCTTAATTGCAACTGGATGTATGGTCCCTCCAATTTCAAAGCTTCCCTTTTTAAACATCATGACTGAAGTGTTGTTGATGCAAGTCCCTGAAACAGGGTGGAAAAGAGGTGGTGAATATTTATGAAGGCAGTCTTTTTTTTAAACAGATTTTTAAAAGGAATTATTTTGATATAAAATATTCAAATCATAGCAAAATTATAGTTGAATATCATTTTGTGAAACAGTTCCATCCCTGCTTAAGTAAGTAATTCAAGAGCTCTAAGCAAGTTTGATAACAAACTTTAACTTTGTTACTAAATACTCTAGAAAATATAACTTGAGCACAACAGGTGACAATTTCAATATTTTAAAATAACGACCTTTAAAAATTTATGAGCAATACTTGTCCAAGTTCATTACCCAGAAATGACATTTAAGATCAAAAGTCACCATGACTTCCAAAAAAAAAAAAAAAGGAAGAAAAAGGCACCACGACTTCCATCAAATGTCAAAAGAAAGCAAGGGATTACTGGCTCAAAGAAGAACATCTCTTTCCTACAGGACAGCAGAGATCTGGACTACGAATGCCAATTCTAGAACAATCTAATGCCTCATACACTTGTTATCCACGAAGGCTTGGTAGGCAGTCACCCTTCTTACCTTCAGGAAAGATTAGTATGGGTAGTTTTTTCTTATCAGCAATGTGTTCTTTTAGTCTGTAAAGTAAAATAAAGGGTCAAAATGCTACCTTTATAAAGGTAGAGGTGGGAATCCTCCTTGGTCTTCCTGACACTCTACTAGCACAAATATAATGGTACAGCAATAAGGAGGGGAAAATAAGTAAAGGAAATAAACTCAGGTTGGGCCTTTTCTAAAAAGCATACAGTTATCTGTACTAGTTCAATTTCTCTCATTTCAAAGCAAGCGATTTCAGCCTACTCTGAAGAAAGAATGCTAGGGGCGGCTGGGTGGCTCAGTCGGTTAGGCGTCTGCCTCCGGCTCAAGTCATGATGCCAGGTCCTGGGATGGAGCCCCGCACTGGGCTCTCTCCTCAGCAGGGAGTCGCTTCTCCCTTTGCCCCTGATGCCGCCTGTGCGCTCTCTCTCTCTCTCTCTCTCTCTCTCTCTCTCTCTCTCTCTCTCAAATAAATACATTTTCTAAAAAAGAAAGAAAGAATGCTACGTAGTCATGAGACAAGGTTCTGATGCCCTCACCTCAGGTCTGTGCCCTTCTCCATGGCCCTATATTTTGTCATCTGAAAAATGGGAATACTGACTACTGAACCCGTCTGCCTCACGGCTGTTAAGTATAAAAAAACTCCTTAAATGAGTAGGGTTCAGCTGTCCTGTGACACAGACACCATAAAGCTGAGAATGACAGAAGTTCTTCTGGGCTTAGGTTCCGCCTTCCCTGCAGCCAGCCCTGTATTTCCAACTGCTTACCAGAAGCTGGTAAGGCTCAGATAGAGACCTCACAGCAGCCAGTGTCCCAATGCTAAAAAATCTCAAACTGGGGCACAGTTTTACTAACTTTAAACAGATTTCAACAAGCACTTTTCATTTTACTACTAAAAGCATGGCCTGCCTTCATGTTTCTGAAAACAATAACCAACAGAGGGCCTTCAGTTAACGGACTCAGGCAAAAAGCTGTTTCCCAACAAAGGCTTCTGGTAGCTCATCTCTAACCCAAGCCCCGAGGGTTCCTTCTGTTCCATGAAGAACATTAGCTCTATCTGTCTCTAGATGGATTTAAGTGATAATGGACATCCAGCAAACAATCAGCTATCTATTGACTCAGCAAATAGTTACCAATTATTTAACTTTCTTTTTTTTAAAAAAAGATTGATTTATTTATTTATTCATGACAGACATAGAGAGAGACACAGAGTCAGAGACACAGGCAGAGGGAGAAGCAGGCTCCATGCAGGGAGCCCGACGTGGGACTCGATCCCGGGACTCCAGGATTGCGTCCTGGGCCAAAGGCAGGGGCCAAAATGCTGAGCCACCCAGGGATCCCCTTATTTAACTTTCAAGGTAGTAATTTTTAATTCTGAAAACTCAGTGACTGGATTATCCCTAGGCCACAACAATACAAACACATGGGCCTTCTAAATTCATCATATATCCCACTATGACTACAGAATTAAATTTTTTAAAAAGATGTACCTAAGACAGGTGATTCAGCAGAAAAGGCTAACCACAAATAAAGCTCCATATATGTTAGGTTTAATCCTGAGTACTGCACTGCCCTCTTTGGCAGGAGGGCCAAGATTTATGCTACTAGTAGATTTTATGCTACTCCAAAGGACACTGGGTAATGTCACTGCTTACCTCTTAGTGACCAAGTGTCGATCCTTCATTTCTGAGCGTTCAAACCAGACATGTGGACAAGCCTTGACCATAGCTCTCTGAATAACTCCCATCAACCCACCATGAACCTGGCCAACCTAAAGTATCATGAGAAAAAAAGGAAAAATGTAAAGGCACAGCTAGGCAAAGAGAGCTTTTATTTTATTTATTTATTTATTTATTTATTTATTTATTTATTTATTTATTTATTTATTTTAAGGAACCAGTAAGTTCCTTTTCCCCAACAAGAGAATAGATCGGCCTTCTACTGATTTAAGTTCTTAGTCTAAAGGACATGAAAGGCCAAATATAAGAAAAAGTGTTCTTTAGTAGCATCTTTGGATTTTAAGCTGAAAATATTGCTACACTAGTTATACTCTAGCTTTAAAAAGCAGAAGTATGTCAATTTAGTCAAGATAAGAGAAATGCAAATTAAAACTACACTGAAATTTCTCACTCATCAGACTGAAAAGACTCAAAAGCTTAACAATGCACTCTGAGCCAAGGCTGAAGAAAACAGCACTCAGGAGTTCCTCGGTACCTCTATAGGTTAAGCGTCTGACTCTTGATTTAGGCTCAGGTCACGATCTCAGGGTCATGGGATGGAGCTGGATGGGGAGCCTGCTTAAGATTCTCTCTCTACCCCCCTCTCTGCCCAGCTCCCCCACCCTGCTGACACTCTATCTCTCTCCAAAAAAAAAAAAGGTCGGAAGAAAGAAAATGGCACTCAGACATTGTTTGGGAAGGGGGAGATTATAACACCTGTAGAAGGAAATTTGGCAACATCTATCAAAACTACATAGACATTTATCCTTCAACTCAATAATTCCACTTCTAGGAATTTATCCTGAAAACATACCTCCAACAAAACAAAAATACATATGCACAAGGTTTTAATTATATATTACTTGTAATCTTGAGATATTGGAAACTACCTAAATGCAAACACAAGAAATCAAATGAATAAACTATGCTACATACACACAGTAGAGTGCCAGGCAGCTGGAAAAGGAGTAAAGTTGATCTACTCTGTAAGGAATAACTTCCCAAAGATCCTGGGGTGGGGTTTTTTCCTGGTTTGGGGCTTTAAAAAAAATTTTTTTTTTTTTTAGTATAGTTGACACAACGTTACCCTAGTTTCAGGTGTATAACATTGCAATTGAACATCCCTATACATCAAGCTGTGCTCACAACTCAGGCAATCATAAGTAACAAGGCAAATTGCAAAAGAACAAATATAGTATGCTACCCTTTGTGTAAAACAGAAGGAGTAATATATACATCTATCTATTTCTACAAAAATAAAAAAATCCAAAGCAGTGAAATTGGAAAACTAAAATGTAGGAAGGAATGGAGCAGAATGGAGAGAGGAAGTGACATTATTAAGAATTTACCTTTATTGTTTAGTTTTGATATTTAGAAGCTTCCAATAATAAATCAACAAGGGTGGAACTAGCAAACCGAAAGCAAACGGAAACAAATAAACCCAACTGCATTTCAAGCGAATAAAAGAACAACACTGAAGAAAGGACGGGAAACCCTAAGAAATGTACAAAGATGGTATTTGACCACACACCCTCTATCTCTCTTTGAAGAGAACTGCAAAATACCTGGATTTTTTTTTTATAACAGTCATTTGTGTAGCAAAACAGTGAGGCAATTCTGAAACAATTTTAGATGTATCATAGGATTGAGAAAATAGGTAGATACATTGGGAGCCAGGGTATTCACTATGAAAAAGGGGAGATGCAAATATGGATTGGGGGAAAGCAAGAAAGAACCTTATGTTTCTCCAATAATTAAAACAGAACTACCCTATGACCCAGCAATTCCATCTTTGAGTTATTTATCCAAGGAAAAAAGAAAACACTAACTGAAAAGATGTATGTATCCCCATGCCCACTGCAGCATTATTTACAATAGCCAAGTATGGAAATGACCTAAGTGTCTGTTGATGAGTGAGTGGATAAAGAAAACATGATATACGTGTGTACACACTTTATCAGCCATTAAAAAAGAATGGAATCTTGCCATCACAAACAACATGGTTAGGCCTTGAGACGTTATGCTAATAGGCCAGATAGAGGGAAAACAAATACTATATGATCTCACATGTGGAATCTAAAACAAACAAAAACCACCACCAAAAAACAACAAAAAACCCATACATTGAAGGCAGTTGTGAGGTTGGGAGAGGAGATGCCAAGAAGCGGGCAAAATGGATGAAACGGGTCAAAAGGTACAACTTCTAGTTATATCATGGGAATGCGGTATGCAGTATATGGACTATGGTTAATAATATTGTATTGCACATTTGAAAGTTGCTAGAGAGTAGATCTTAAAAGTTCTCATCACAAGAAAAAAATTTTATGTGTGGTGATGGATGTTAACTAGACTTACTGTGATTTTACAATGTATACAAATACTGAATTTTTGTACACTTAAAACTAATTTCAATTATACCTTAATTTTTAAAAATTTAAAAACAAATGACTTCAGTATTTTCTAAAAACAGTAAACTATGAGGCATCAAATTAATAAAAATACCTAAATACAAATGAAAAAAAGAAAAACCCTATGAACTGCATGAATTGGTATAGACCCAAATTTTGAATATTATATTAATATTAGAAATAAATACTAAATATCAACATATTAACATATAAATAATTTACACACATTTTTATGTAGATAGAAAGACAGCACACAAGAATGCAAATGATAAAACAAATGGAGCAAAACGCTACTAACAGGTAAATATGAATAAAGGGTATATGGATATTTATTATTGCAATCTCTCTATGACCTCGAAAATATTTCTAAAATTTTTTAAAAAGTTCAAGTCTTTGTTTAGGAGGGGAAAAAGACTTTGAAAAGCCACTAAGACGGATTCTTGAATATTCTTCACATATATAGTTTATGTTTAGCCAGAAGAGGTCACATGTGACCTTTGGAGGTCAGCAATAAAGTTTCCTCCCATTTCTGCCCTCTACTGCCTCTGACTTAAATCCAATTGGCTTCCAGTGTCTATCCCACTGGAAACTTAGCAGTAGCTCTGCTTTTCTAAAATGTGGCTAATATTATAATTGCAGTCACACATAATCAAAAAGCATAAAAAATTCCAACAAAATTCTGATGACTCAGTCACCAATGAGTTGTATTTAACTTTTTGTTGACCAGGACACAGAATGAATATGGTCCCAGAGACACAAAATCGTGATTAGCCAAGTTGGTTAAAATGCCCAAATCTTCGCTTTCTCTTCTATAATAAACTATCAGCCTGAATCTCATTGTATTACTGTGAGTTCGCATACAACGGATGTGAAAGTGCTTGTCCACATAATGCAAAGAATTATTACTATGACCAGAATGGTGCTGGGGCCTACCCAAGATTGTTAACAGAAGGGTCCTTGAGTAGGCTTTTAAACAAAATCATGACATGCTTGCATGATGCATATGTATGTCATTGTTTTTCTTTTTTTCTTTCTTTTTTTTTTAAGATTTCATTTATTTATTTATTTATTTATTTATTTATTTATTTATTTATTTATTTATTTATTTGAGACACAGAGAGAGAGGCAGAGGGAGAAGCAGGGTCAATGTGGCACTTGATCCCAGGACCCTGGGATCACAACCTGAGCCAAAGGTAGATGGCTCAACCACTGAGGCACCCAAGTGCCCTGTCCTGTTTTTCTTAAGGCTGCATAACTATTAACTGATGCCTAACCTAAACAAGGTGAAGAACTAGCAATTCCCATAAGTCTTCTCCTAGAAATAGTTAAAGCTTCCTTGGATTCCAAATGGGCTCCATGACTTAGACAAAATAAAGTAGTAAAATGTGGTTGCCCAAGAGTTATATATATCTGAACTCATATTTTAGACAGATTAAATATCTTGCAATAAATTAGGAGTTTTTACAAAGGCCTTCAACCCCCTCAATGATTTTTTTTAATAATAAATTTATATTTTATTGGTGTTCAATTTGCCAACATACAGAATAACACCCAGTGCTCATCCCATCAAGTGTCCCCCTCAGTGCCCGCTATCCAGTCACCCCCACCCCCTGCCCTCCTCCCCATCTACCACTCCTAGTTCGTTTCCCAGAGTTAGGAGTCTTCCATGTCCTGTCTCCCTTTCTGATATTTCCTACCCATTTCTTCTCCCTTCCCCTCTATTCCAATGTGGCATATATGTTTGTCTTTCTTGCTTGATCTTCATTAAAAAGTCTGATTTTTTTTTTTAATTGTATATGGCTCCCTGAAGGAAGACACAACTAATTGGCTGGTAAGGGATTTGCGCAGTTCTAAGGAGGAAGACTTTAACATCTCAAAGTGTTATTGAACACTGCAGGGATTTTAGAAGCAAGACAGAATCAACCTTGTAAAGTCCTATCAAGCTCAAGTATGTCTACATTTCAGTGAGTTAACATTTTTACTACCTTTTTTAAGAAAAGATTGATCCATTAATTTATTTTTACTTTTTTGAAGATTTTTTTTTTAAGTCACCTCTCCCCCCAACATGGGGCTCAAACTCACAATGCCAAGATCAAGAGTTACATGTTCCACTGACTCAGCCAGCTAGGAGCTTACAATTTTTTACAACCTTAAATATAATAGCTATTTTCTTTCTTTTTCTTGCACTATGTAGTGTTCATTTATATAGCTACAGTAGTATAACCCCATAATTTTCTAATATAAAACTCTCTAATTTGTGCCAAAATAAATTAAAAGTTTATTGAATAATCCACAAAACATGCATTTACTTGAACTGTCACTGAGCTGCTCTTACCATAGCATAGCATCCATCCGTTGTCAAGATCAAAACATCTATTGGGGAAGTATGATTGGCAACACAGATGCCTCCCTTCTGGGGTCTGTACTGCCTGCAATCACAATGGTAAATAGTAAACCTGGAAAATTGTTACTAATTTGCAGAACAGCATGTATTCACCCTATTTTGCTTTAAAAAGTACATTTAAAAATCGAGTTTCAAAGTATCTGGTCCCATTTTAAAAAGGTAGGCAGTATGATAGAAGTAGGGTAAGAGTATAGGGGAAGGGGCCAATAACTTGCCCTTTATATCTATTTACATTGTTTTTTGGTAATGGTCATATTTTCCTTTTATAATGAAAAAGGAAATTTAAAAATCTTAGACTGAGTTACAAAGATTCCATAACTTTAATATTATAATATTCAAGTTTCATTTAACTATTTTCCTATTATTTCAATCTTCATAAGCATCCCTTTTTAGTAGTTTCACAGTGACCACAGAGTAAATTTACTATAGTTTCCTCCCTTTTATCCCCTTAAAGCAGAGGTTGGCAAACTTTTCCTATTGAGGGCCAGAAAATAAATATTTTAGATTTTGCAAGCCAGTCAATTCCTATCAAAACTACTGGACTCTGCTATTTTGTCACAAAGGCAGTCACAGACAATATATAAATGCATGAGCATGGCTGTGTTCTAATAAAACTGTATTTACAAAAAAAAGATGGCAGGCTGTATTTGGCCTCTAGACCCATAATTTAGTTTGCCAACCTTTTCCTAGAGTTCAACCAGTATTTGAAACTAATGAAACAAAGTAGTTTTCATTGGCCCAATACAGAGAAGAACCAAATGCATAACAACTTTAGCATCCATTCCTTAAAATCAGAAGCAATTCTATATATACTAGGTTGTGAATTCTTTATGTAATTAAAGCACCTTTTCTGTAGATAGTATTTCTTCTGATTACAGTTCTACCAAAGCATTTCTTCTACTCCTCATCCCAAAACTCACAGTTCAAAGACAAAATCTTGTAATTTTAGAAACTTTTCTTTAAGATTTTATTTATTTATTTATTTATTTATTTATTTACTTACTTATTTATTTATTTATGAGAGACACAGAGAGAGAGAGAGAGAGGCAGAGACACAGGCAGAGGAAGTGGCAAACTCTATGCAGAGAGCCTGACGTGGGACTCGATCCCAAGACCCCGGGGTCATGCCCTGGGCCAAAGGCACGCGCCAAACCGCTGAGCCACCCAGGCGTCCCAAGATTTTATTTATTTATTTATGAGAGACACAAAGAGAGAGGCAGAGATACAGGCAGAGGGAGAAGCAGAGAGCCAGATGCAGGACTCGATCCTAGAACCCCAGGATCACACCCCAAGCTGAAGGCAGACGCTCAACTAGGGAGCCACCCAGGTGTCCCTAATTTTAGAAACTTAAGGGGCATTTTATGTTGGTAACACATGGTAGAGCCACAGGAGATAATGTCTCCCTTCTACAAATGAGACAGAAAGATCCAGTCAACAAAAAAGAGAGGCTTTCTAGAACTTTTAAACCAATGAAGTTAAATGTTAAAAAAATAATAATAAAATTGAGTTAAAAGAAAAGTAATTCAAAAGTTCAAAATTACTTTTATCAGCTAATAACTTCAGTTAGCTACCATTATCCTCTATGGTTGCAGGGAGGGAAGCAAAGTGTGTTCTGTCTGAAGGGTCAGTTACGAAACTTCGAAGCGGCAGGACTGAGATTAGAAACCAGACCTCAGGGCGCCTGGGTGGCTCAGTGATTGAGCATCTGCCTTTGGCTCAGGTCATGATCCCAGGGTCCCGGGGTCCCGGGATCAAGTCCCACATCAGGCTCTGCCACAAACTATCTACGGGACCCTAGACAAATCCCAGAGATTCCCCTCTTCACCTGTAAAACAGGACAACGACACTTCTCTCGTAGGATGACCTATAAGAAGCATATATGACGTGGCCTGCACACCATAAATGCTCAATTACTAAGTGTCATTACACTATTTTTACACTCTTTCTGCAAGTGGATGGCTTTTTGCAAGTTTTTCATACAAAACCATTCTAAGCTTCAGGGATGAACATACTGGCAGTACTCTGACTTCACCTGCTTTCTCCACCCAGTACTGTCAGTTAGAGCCTGGATTTATGCACAGAAAGCCAGGTGGAAGCCAGTGGACACTCACTTGTTATGATAATGAATGGTGCCAGAGAGGGCTCGCACACAGATCCGACAGCATGTCAGGTGGACCAGTTCACTTAGCCAGTTTTTGAGGCTGCAAGAAAGAGAAAAGATTTCATGGTGCGGTTCTGGGCACTCCTAAGAAACAATACAGTAAGAGCTTCCATGTGCTCCTTCACAGCAGCATACTGTGTTCTGAAACACAAGCACAGTTTCAACTCTTAAAGTCTCATTGAGGCATTTAGGACAAAACTTTCATGAAAAATAGATCTCACCCTACAAGACTGTCATGATAAATCCCTGACCAAGATAAGCTGGAGCTTGTTTGGTCTCAGCCTGGTAAGCTTGACCATATAGTAAGACTGTTGCTTTCCATGAGTCCCTCAGTCCATTTCCTTTCTCCTCTTCATTTCCTCTTTGAAAAACGATTTCTCACCATTTATATCAAAGTGTGATGGCAAATCAAATAAAGACTATGAATACAAAGTAAGCAAAATGTTAACAAGTATGTGGAGGCCATAAATTTGAATCAAATATTCTTCTTGTAGACACAGCTAAGGAAAGGGACAATCCTAGTTTTGGCTGAGTAGAAGGAAACATTTCCCACCTGCCATCCGGCAGCTGTCCGACCAGTGTAGTTCCTATAACCAACAAACTGATCCCAATGAAAGCCAAAGTAACCCTGAAAAAGAAAAGAAAACGTAATGCAAAAGTTAATTGCATAGTAAAAGGCAAGATATATCATCTAAAAGTTCAGAAATAATCAAACTATAAGTAAGTCATGGAATGTCTAAATATGGAATATGGTGCTGCCATTAAAAGAATTGGGTAAATCTATAGATTCTGACACAGAAGAATGATCTTTGGTATTCTGTGAGAAAAAAAGCAAAATAAGTTTCAAAATAATATGTAGAGTATGATACCATTTTCAAAATAACAGTAAGTATATATTAGTTGAACATCAAGCATATAACTAGTTTATAGATGCTTAAAGAAGGTCTGGGAATTTATTCACGAAACTACCAAATTCAATCTATGTAATCATCAAAGGATTAAGCGAGCTAGTGAAAAGAATAAATCAAAAGTCTTGCCCTTTTGCTCTTCTGAATTATTTTTAATGAGTATATATTAAATATACTCATATTAGCTTCTTGTATAATATAAGAAACTCCTTTATGTTCTATAAAGGAGTCATGTCAGGTTGAAAACATCTTATTTTCTTCGGTATACATTGGTGGGCATTGTATGATTGTAAATATCTTCTAAAAATTACTTGTTTTTCTGAGTTTTTTAATGATGGGAGAGAGGTACAATTCAAACTTTTCTCGAATGGATTTAAAATTTATAGCAAATAGCAAGAAAGGCTCTTGCATAATAAGAACACCAAGTTATACCACCATATAGAAATCCTTTCTACATGCAAATCTGTTGTCCCCTTAGTATATTCACAGTAACTCACAAGTTAGTAACAAGGTGACTGACAATACCTCTAATCTCCACATAGACACTTTCTCATTTTTGAAAGGTGCTTATAACATTCTTTCTAATCACTTCAAAAAGAATATAGTCATTTTCAGAAATGTAAGTAGAATCACACAGTAAGATAAAATTGAGATTTAAAGTCTTTCAGAATAAATGGGGCTTCCTTCTAAATGCATTGTTAAGGTGTTAAACCTCATTAAAGTCCTTTAAAAAAACTTGTTGAAGTCTTGGTTTAAGACCTTTTGACAGAACAATTTGAAGGCTAGATTTAGTTTTCTTTTGGTGCCATATTTTCATACCAACCACTGATGCAATAGATAAATCATCAATTATGCAAAAGTTTTAAAATAACATTTTGCTACCTTGCCCTACTGGGAATCATTTGTTCCTACACATGAAACCAGAAGGGGTTACATTTGAACATGTTTAACAACTAGGTTCAAAACTCTTGAAAGGTTTTATTTACAAGATTAATAGGCAAAAAATTCTGGTTTCCAGTTTAGTGAGACAACATGAGAATTTTCATAGATGTCACAAGTTCTCAGGCACAATCTGTGTTTTTTAAGAGTTTTACTGAGATACAATTTACCTATCATACAATTTACCCATTTATAAAGTAGTCAATGGTTTTCGGCATATTCACAGAGTTGTGCTACCATCAATACCATTAATTTTAGCACGATCTGCCTTTTGAGTGTTCACTTTGGAGCAACAGCTCATCTTCTAAAGCATTTACACAGTAATTCTTTCACAGTGAAGAGGATGTACTAAGCATAGGAGTCTCAATTCTGACATTTCCTTATTCTTCCTGGGTGCTTACGCTATTGAATTATCCTACATCTGTGGTTTCTTTGTAAGAATCTTCTGTTACTTCTTGAGTCTGTGAGCGTTAGTTTAATCTAAGTAGATAATGGAATCCTAACACCATTTACTGGCCCCCACAGCGGATGAAAGCTAACCAACAAATGAGGGCATCTCAAATACTTGGACCTGCAAAATACTCTAGGTTGAGGTGGCTTTGAATACAGTGCCTGACTCGTGGACAAGTGCACATGTATAATCTCTATAGTCAATCTTATTGAAGGTTCATTTCTTTTTAAGAATAAAAATAGAATAAATGGAAGCCCTAATTACAAATAGACTAGACAAAAAAAAATAAATAGACTAGACATGTTTAATAAATAAAAGCTCAAATATTTCCTTCGTGCATACTAGTGGATACTTTTGCACATGCTCAGAGTACATGAACCCCCAGTTGAGAACACTGGTTTAGGGTTCAAGCAAAAGTATATGCGAAACACTGAATTTCACTTTGATATCACAGTTGAAATGATTCCCAAAAGACATCCCATGCCCCAACTGGCCAATCAGCAATATGGGTCAAAACACACACACACACACACACACACACACACACACACACACAGTTTAGAAATGTGCCTTTGCCTCTACTTAAGCAATCTCTTCACTTGTAATAAACCTAAATGAGGCAAGTATAGGCCACCCTAGGGATGGTTGAACGGTTTCAAGTCATGTGCCAATTTAAGGTGGCTGATAGCAACTGCCCAGAAAGCTCTACTGAGAGGATGCCAAGGTTCTGCCAAGGGAAATAAACAAGATAATCAACGGCAATATTATGACTGATACACATGCCTACTACCTGCCATTACCATGCTAGACATACCTTGCTCCCTCATGCTTCATCCCATTGCCCAGCGTCACCTCTGCTACTCTTATGTTCCCCACTATGTTTCTAATAAACTGTACTTGAAAGTACCTCCTCATTAGGCAGAATCGGAAGAGGACACAGATAGCAAACTTTAAATAAGAAAAGTTAATCATAATGGAACTAGATGGAACAAATTCAGTCCCGTGAATGGCTCCCTGCCATGTTGTAACCATTCTCAGGAATTTTTTCTCTCCTGTGCAACTATGAACTGCTACAGACCAACAAAGAACGGCAGTTACAGCTTGGCTGACACTTTGGTGAATGCAAAACTATAAATCCTCTCTTCTTTTTCCTAACTTACCTTTTCTACCTATCCTCAAATTATCTTTTTTAAAGATGTTATTTATTTATTTGATACAGAGCAAGCGAGCATGGGCAGGGGGAGGGGCAGAGGGAGAGGGAGAAGCACCGACTAGGCAGGGAATCCAATGCAGAGCTCGATCCCAGGACCTGAGTGGAAGGCAGGCACCCAAATGACTAAGCCACCCAGGTGCCTCTATCCCTAAATTATTTATGACTAAAAGAACAACATGGATCCAGATTGATATATATTAGACTCTCAATACACTTCTTCATTTGGGGAAAATATGAAAGAAGAATAGATACTTCATATGTTCCTGTGGAGGTCACATTTGGTGGTATTTTGCAGGTGGTTGGAAAGAGTGAGATTAGTGCCATAATACTCTCATGAGAACATTACATACATGACTTAAAAAGAAACCTGAACCAATTATACCATCAATTACTAGGCAGGAGACATACCTCAGGGGCAGAAGGACACAGTAGCGTACTATGACGCCCAGTACCCACACCATGGTGAGCCGCAGACTGATGTACTGGAAATTTATATTGGTTCTTGTGAGGAGATTCCATGACACTAGCTCCTCTGAGGAGAACCTCTGGGTCACTTCATCTTCTACAATGGCTTCCAAGCCCTTCTTGGAGAAATAAAACACATCAGACAGCTCAAAGTCCCTTCCTCGCAGACCAGAGAGCCCTTTCTCCATGGGTGACTCATCTCTTTGGATAATACCTTAAAAGAAAGCATCAGGACATGAGAAAATGCCATAGGACACAAGAACTGACCAATGGGGCAATTTTGTGCAGAAGACAAGTCAACAAATTTAATGGGTTATATGAAGCCGACTTCAAAAATAAAAGACAAACAATTGCAGTGGGAAAAGAGGTGAAATCACTCAGTCTGCATAAAATGGCTTCTATCCAATGACTTTAATTCATTAGAAAGAAATGCGGTCCTGACCCTTTTCTTGTTGCATTTCCTCTCTACACACCATTAGTGAAAGAGAAGTTACAGAACAAACTCTCTGCAAGTATAGATCTAGACTGTGTGAAAATAAAACCTTCTGTTTTTCCCTGACAAAAACCATAAAGCCAAAAGCAAGCAAAATGGCAAAAGGTATTTACTGCAAATGGCAAAAGGCTGATATTTTTAATATGTAAAAATGATTTAATGAGAAAATCAGTCTCAAGGTCATGAACTGAATTCATAGAAACACTAATAGTTAATATACCAAAACCTTTCACTAGTAATCAAAGAAATGTGAATTTGACAAAGATTGGCCAGTTTACATAATCAAATCAGCAACATTTTTAATGATAAAGTTCAATGACAGAAATAAGTTATTTTCATACTCAATTTGTATGAGTGTGGAACTAAAACTAGTAGTCAAAGTTTGTCAAAATCCCTTTGGCATGAAGAGGCTAAGAACTGGTTTGCTGATGATTCAATAATTCCAATTTTAGGAATCTATCATAAGAAAATAATCAGAAATGTAGGCAAGAGTGTTCACTGTAGCATTTCCCATTATAATGAATCCAGATAACAAGATACAATGCATCTAATAGATACTGTAATTAATAAATACCTTAATGTTAAGTGAAAAAAGGCAGGATTTAAAACTATAGTTTTAACTTTATGAAATATATATACATAGAAAAAATGTCAAGAAGGCCACATTAAGTGGTTATCTCTGGGCAATACAATTAGATGTTCCTCTTTATGCTGTTACTGTCTTTCCCATAAAGAAAACAATTCAAAGATTTTTAACATAGCATAAATTTTATAAATTGAAAAAAATGACCACTGCCACCCAGTTCTGACTACTAAATAAGGATCACAGATGAGAAGATCTTCAAATAAAGAGTAGCTGCATACACAATGGCATAACTATCCAATTGTCCCTCTGGGGTGTGTCGCAAAGGAATTTACTTCCTAAATTAGAAAAGTCTTTTCTTTTGGGAGATTAAGATATTAAATTCCCTGAAAGAAGATCCCCTCTGATTTTTCACTTGCCAGTTTACTTGGAAATCAATGAGAATGGAGAGGGCTATGTTACCCATCCTCTGGAGAACATACATGTACGTGCATCCGTAGAAGTTTTTAAAAGGAATGGCAGCATAATGCACTGGAGTAGAAAATAAAGAGGACCTGGAATTCAAAGTCAAGTTCTGCTTAGGAAAACCACCAGCTGTGGGGCACCAGGGTGGCTCAGTCGGTTAAGTGTCTGCCTTCCGAGCCCCACACTGGGCTCTATGCTCTATGCAATTCTGCTTCTCCCTCTCCCCTCACTTATGCTCCCTTTCTCTCAAATAAATAAATAAAATCTTAAAAAAAAAAAAAGGATAAACGCCAGCTCTATCACTTACCACTAGATAAGCCACCTAACTTGGTGTCCTCCTTTATGAAATAGGAGGTGAAAAAAGTTTTAGTTTATCAGGCTAAAGTTTCATGATTTTACTTTTGGGTTTTGTGGGTAGTTTTTGTTTGTTTGTTTTTACCAACATGCAAATCCAATACCTTATCACCTTAAGAATTAGAGCAATAAAATAAGCTCCTGGGTGATTAGATTATCTTTTCCCATCAGCAAGTCTAAGTGGTTTAACCTTTTCTCACCCTCTCTGAAAAGTATTTGATTCCTATGAGAGGATGAACCAAGACAGTGTCACTACTGAATTACCCTCTTGCTCTGTGGATGCTGCAATATCTCAGAGCAGGTTACTCAATCCAAGTACTTGCCAATACTCAGCAGTGCAAGAGTTTCATTATTTAGCAATGTGTAGGGTTTTGTGGGTTTTTTTAAGTCTAGAAGGGGAGGGAAGAACAAGTTATTCAGCCAATCTCAGAATGAAACACATTGGAGACAGAGGATAGCCCTTCTAAAAGTAACCTTTTGCGGAGGGGTAAGAGATAAGAATGCAAGTTCAAGTTGCCTCATTATTTAACTGAGCCAAAGAGAAGAGATGTGTAAACAGGGGCCAGCCCTCAGCCCCTACCCACTTGATGTGCAATATTCTCTATGCTCCCTGACCTACTTAATTCTGTGTAACTCACCTAAAAAAAATTCGATTTTATATTTTTGTTAAGCCTCTTTCAAAGATATGTGGGTGACTGCAATACACCTAATTGACAAAGGATTAATTTCCAGAATATATTAAGACATACAAAAAAGACAAGAAGAAAAGGTAAATATATATACATATATATGGCAAACAATTCATAAAAAGAGTAAGCTTTAATGATTACACATTTTAAAAGATGTTCAACTTCACCATAAGCAGAAAAACACAAAGAAAAACAATGAAATACTGTCTTATAAAGACTGATACAAATTTTAAATCGAGTAGAATCAAGTGTTGGTGAAAATTTGGACAATTGGAATGTAATTAGTATAACCATACTGGGAAACAATTCGGTACCATCTAGTAAATTTAAAGATATTCATAGCCAGAGACCCAGCAATTCTACTTCCAGGTATACCTCAGGAAGACTTTCATTTAATAATTTCAAATATGCAGAAAAGTCGCAATGATAGTTCACTTTACCCAGATTCATGAATTGCCAACACTTTGTCACATTTGCTTTATTGTTCTATCCCTACATGTATGAAATGTACTTTTTTCTGAACCACTTGAGAATAAATTGCAGACATCATGCCCTTTACCTCTAAATATTTCAGCATTGATTTTCTCAAGACACGATGTTTTATTTATTAAATAATAATAAAATTGTCAAAATCATGGAAGTGAACCTTACTGCAAAACTAGTATCGAATGTACAGACCTTATTCAAATTTTCACAATCATTCTTCATATCATTTTTTCCTTCACATCCTTTTTTTCTGGCCCAGGATCCAACCAAGGATCATTATATTTATACGTCATCTCTATAATCCCCTTATTATATGAAAAAGTTTCTCAGCCTTTCTTTGTTTTTTAAGACATTGGCATTTTTTTTTAATTTTTATTTATTTATGATAGTCACACAGAGAGAGAGAGAGAGAGAGGCAGAGACATAGGCAGAGGGAGAAGCAGGCTCCATGCACCGGGAGCCCGACGTGGGATTCGATCCCAGGTCTCCAGGATCCTGCCCTGGGCCAAAGGCAGGCGCCAAACCGCTGCGCCACCCAGGGATCCAGACATTGGCATTTTTTAAGAGTACAAGCCATCTATTTTATAGGATGGCTCTTAATTTGGATTAATCTGATGTCTCCTCATGATTAGATGCAGGTTGTACACTTTGGGCAGGAATACTACATAAATGATGTATCCTTTTCAGTGCATCACATTGGGAACATGTGATCTGTTTGTTCCATGATTGGTGACATTTAGCTTTGATCGCTTGGTTTAGGGTAGTCAGTTATTACCAAATTTACACTGTAAAGTTACTTTTTTTCTCTTTTTGATTAGTAAGTGGAGAATTATTATCTATAAATATCTATAAAGGAGAGATACTTTGAAACTATAGAAATATCCTGCTCCTCAAACCTTCACCCAGTGGTATTAACAGCTTTTTTTTTTTTTAAGATTTTATTTATTTATTCATGACAGAGAGAGGCAGAGACACAGGCAGGGGGAGAAGCAGGCTCCATGCAGGAAACCCGACGTGGGACTCGATCCCCGGTCTCCAGGATCACGTCCCGGGCCGAAGGCGGTGCTAAACCGCTGAGCCACCCGGGCTGCCCGGTATTAACAGCTTTGATGGTTCTTGCCTGAATAAATAGGCAGTATGTGTCTTTTTTTTTTTTTTAAAGATTTTATGTATGTATGTATGTATGTATTTGAGATAGAGAGAGTAGGAGCAAGGGGGAGCAGCAGAGGCAGAGGAAGAAGCAGGCTCCCCACTCAGCAGAGAATTGGATGTGGGGCTGGATCCCAGGATCCCCAGATCATGACCTGAGCCGAAGGCAGACCCTTAACTGACTGAGCCAACCAGGCCCCTCACGATGTATCTTTTAAAATGGTATTTTCTCACTTCTTCCACATTTATTATTTCCATTTCACCTTTAAAAAAAAAAAGAACTTTTCAATTATACTCTACAGATTCCTATAAAATTGTGCAGAAGTAGACATATATAAAAACATTTTGCCACATTGTTAGCAATAGCAATCTAAAGGTACATTAGAGGGCTCCTGGGTGGCTCAGTTCGTGGAGAGCTTGCCTTTGGCTCAAGTCATGATCTCAGGGCCCTGGGATTGAGCCCTGCGTTGGGCTCCCTGCTCAGTGGGGAGCCTGTTTCTCCCTCTCTCTCTCTGCTGCTCTCTCTTGTGTTCTTTGGCTCTCTCTATCCTTCTGTCAGATAAATAAACAAAATATTTTTTTAAGATTTTATTTATTTATTTATTCATGAGAGACAGACAGAGAGAGAGAGAAGCAGAAACACAGGCAGAGGGAGAAGCAGGCTCCATGCAGGGAGCCTGACATGGGACTCGATCCCGTGTCTCCAGGATCAGGCCCTAGGCTGAAGGCGGCGCTAAACCGCTGAGCCACCCGGGCTCCCCATAAAATCTTTTTTTAAAAAAATAAATAAATAAAGGTGCATTTGATGGATATATAGCAATATATACAAATATCAAAGCTTTATGTTGTAAACTTAAAACTAATATTTTGTATTAATTATATCAGTAAAAACAAATAATAGAGGAAAACTCATATAAATAATAAATAATAAAAGGAAGCTCATATAAAAAAAGGTGGGTACAAACAGTGTATACTGTATAAGAGCTAAAAGAAAT